CCTTGACATTGTTCTTTAGAAAGAACTTATTCCTTAATAAAAGACTTTTTGGAGTAAAATATCACTCAAACTTAAAACTTTATTTAATATAGGTTGTATTAAAACTTTTTTTAAGTCGTTACATTGTGAGTTTTGATGGGATTCGTTACAGCAATAATAAAGCAGCAAATACTTTTGTAGACACGGAGGTCTACAATTTTACCAGTTCCGTGTGTACCTTATCTGAACAAATATATACTTTTAACTTATTTATTGAGTTGATATTCAATAATTTTTTTGTGAAATTATTCCACTAGTTTGCTATAATTATTAATACATAGATGGAACACTCAGAAAAAATTCCTTCGATCCGGCACAATTCGAACCGACGTCTTCTAGCTTACCGTGCTAGACGCTATACCAACTAAGCATATATACTTATAAATATATACTTTCTGAAGGCCAGCGAAAGGTGTCCGTAGAAATGAGAAAGGCAATAATCAGTTAGCTGTAAGTTATTGACAAAAGTTAGGAAGTACCATAAGGCAAGAAAAGTTACAATGGCGGCTATAACTTACATTTTCAGGAAAGTACTCTTTGTACTGTTAGTAGACCAGCTCCCGTAATGTCGATACGTGTTTTGATTATAGTGCCCTTCACTTTCAACCTCTAGGTTATACGTGAAAGGCACTAATAACCTGTGCAAGCACAGGGGTCTTTTCAGTTCAGGTCCTGATCCCGGATCAGGCCGTGTGCAGGGTTATCACAGACCATTGTTACTGACTTCATCCGGTTCTCAAGAGGCTAGTGCCTTGGGTGAACCGTTCCGGGTGCACGTACAGTATCCTCCCTATTTTCCAGATAGGTACCGGAGCTGCAGGCACGCTTATTTCCCGTTGTGTGTTGTACAAGTAACGGTTGCCACCGCTAAGCCGTTGACTCAAATGTCCACTATCAAATCACCTTCACTGGCGGATCCGGACTCTGGGTATGGACTCGTGGGGGTTATGGTAGCTGCAAAGACGGACGTCTGCTCCGGTGATGTGTGGCCGGGGCATCTGTCTCATGTGCAGCTAGCACGTCTTAGTACTGGTCTAGATGAGAGCCTAAGATGAGGAGACGCGTGGGGCACGTGTGTTGCACTTAAAGTTGGAAGCTATGTCCGTATATTATAATAACAACGCATAACGCACACACTCAACATAGCCCCGCACTAGGGAAAACCCTGTGTCTAGGGTACCATGGACACACGTAAACAACCACAAATTACACCCATACTTACGACAGAAATAAATGTAGGCCATACAAATATATCTCCCGGCTAAACGAACCCGGGACCTCTGCGTGGCAGTCCAGCATGGTAACCGTTCGGCCATGGAGGCAGGTACAGGACAGTTGGACCGACATCTGTGGCTCCTTTCTCTGCCGCACGGTTGACAAATGGAACTCCCTTCCGGCACATGTCTTCCCTCCCTCTTATTTATTTTATTTTTATTTATTTATTTATATTCAGGTTACTGAGACCCATAGATACATACCTTACAGACTAACATACATAACAATATAAAATAACACTAATTACTAATTTAACACGTATTTAGGTTGTCGGCGACGTGTGGCGCCATCTGGTGTCAGGCAACCGGCCACGGAATCGCCGGTATAGGACACCCTTCGGCCAGAACTCCTCCTTCATGAAGGTCGACAGATGTTCGGTCGGCACTCTCACCACAAACGAATTAAAGTTCACGTAGTGGCGGGACTCCAACCGCTCGACCCTCAGGGTGTATTTGGATTTCAACCTGATGTACTCCACTATCTCCTCAGACTTCGTGGAGTAATGCAGGCGTGACAGGTACAGCAGCGTTGTCGGGATTGCCGGACGCAGCAAAAAGTTGGACCCTGTCGGTGCAGTGCCGCACAGGTTACGGCTGGTGGGCTTCCTCTTCTTCTTCTCCACCTTTGTGAAGCCGTCATCGTCGCACCGGGCCGTCTGCCTCTGTGGTTTTGCAACTTCAGAGACAGGTACACGAGGTTTTTTCATCCCCTTCGTTGATAGCTGCCTGGCTTGTGGTTGTGGAGCAACGGGTCGGTTAACAGCTGCGACAGCGGCGTAATCACGTGGAGGGGTCAACGTGTTTACGCGTGACGTCTCCGCCGGAGCGGACAATCGAGGGGCGGGGCGCGGGGAAACGCGCTCAGCGACAGCGGTCGGTGACGCATCCGTATGGGCCGATTCAAAACTGCCGATAGATGCATTATGTGCCCCGCGACGAGTATTCACGTTACAGGCCTCGGGTGACCTACTTACCGAAGTTGCACTACTCAGTAATACAACTTGGGCACGTAACTCACAGATGGTGTTATCCGAAGCCTCCAATTTACATTGCACTTCGGCCAGACTTGCTTTCAGGGATGTGATGTCCTTAAGCAGCCTAGTGACATCGACATGGTCGAACGTGACAGGGGGCAGCTTGTGCAGCTCCTTTGCCACGAAAGCAGGCACGTCGTCTGGGTCGGTTTCCTTTAACATCGTTATAATGTCCTGGATACTCTTCGTTCCTCCATCCCTGATATGGGGTCCTTCAAACGAGGCGTGAAGAGGCATATTGTAGGCAGGCAGGGTGGAGGTGGCTAGTGCAGTGAGGGTTTCATCGCTGCACTAGGTTCCTTCGCGTTTGGATACCACTTTCCACTTAACATCAGGTGGAGTGGAGTCATTTGCCTGTCATGTATAAAAAAAAAAAAAAAATCTCCGGCACAAGTGCTAGGCTAATAGAGGGCGAGCTAGACATTCTCCGATCCCTCTAGCCGCGTAGGTTTCTGGGAACTGGAGAGACGCTTCGGCATTGGGCGTGCCTACTGCTCCGCCACCAAAGAAATTTGGTAGTGGACTTTTGGTAGTGCAACGCACAACGGGAAGTGAGTGTGCCTACAGCTCCGGTACCTATGATGGTATCGTGTGTTATTATTATTATAAATATATTAGTTCTTCCAAGGAACTACTGCCACCTTACCTATTAGTGCCGCCAAGCAGTAATGTGAGCATTATTGCGTTCCGGTTTTGAAGAGTAAGTAAGGGTGCTAATAAAATTAGACACATGGGACTTGTAAACGTGTTTTTTTTTTTAATATATAATAGACACACGCTTGGCCACAATCTCACCTGATGTTAAGCGACGATGTGACCGACGATGGGACGCGTTTGCCTAAAAAATGCCTATTCACTCTAGCCTTGAATAGCCCCAAATTGTACTTTTCGGGAAATACATATGCCGGTAGAGCATTCCATTCCTTTGCCGTACGCATCAGAAAGGAGGAGGCAAAGCGCTTAGTGCGAATAGGTGGAATATCAACGACATAAGAATGGAGTGCTCCGGACCTTCTAGTCGACCGAAGGAGGAACGGTGAGGGCGGAACCAAATTGAAAAGTTCCTGCGCACACTCCCCGAAATGTATCCGATAGAAAACCGACAAGCAGGCTACTTTTCTGCGATGATCGAGATTTTGGAGCTTCGACTCCACAACGTGTGACGGCGGCGGCGACGTGCGCAGTGGCAGTGCCTCATAGATCTTTGCGATTTAAAGCTCTGAGTAACACTGCAACTGCAATGGACAGTCGTGTCGCTTACCACAAGGCACATGTTCAACTTGACTTGTCCACCTCGTCACTGAGTTTCATAAAAAAAATGAAATTACATATAATAAACAATAACTACAGCCTATTAGATATCTGCAGGAATAAAGTTACTGTACGAGATTATACGTGGTTTTGCATAAAAGACGAATTTTAAATTATACTCTAATTAAAGGTCAGATAATTAGTCATTCTGGCATAATCAGTTTCAAACTGGTCCTTTCTAGAAATAGACATTTTGCAACAATTGCTTATTAATAATCACTTGCTAACCTCGTATGTCGCTGACATATTGAATTTTTTTTAAACATTGCCGTTGAAAAAAATCCACGTTGAAGCTCTATTGAATAAAAATTAAAATCCGCGTTTATGAACAGAAATTTTGATTAAAAATTTCACCGCACTGGTATTTTTAACGCTTTTTAATTATGTAACACAATAGGCATTCCGTGTCTATATAGGGTTTAATAAAATTATGCTCAAAATTTAGAGAAAATATTCTCCGAAATTAAATTATCATCTTTTTAATTTGAAAATTTCCACAAGAAAATTTCAACTTTGTAAAAAATCAATGAAACCGATAATCTAAAAGTAAGCTAAATCAATTTTTGGTTTAAATTTCGAAACTTCTAGAACAAAAGTGGTTTGTAATCATGACGTCATCTGTAAAGCACTACAGATCACAAATTTCTTCGCCGTTATATTGTGTACATCAAAAAGAAGCAATACATCAACATTAAATAGTCGCAATCTAACCTGAAAGGACGCTAAGATGATTTTTTTGTATGATTCGAAACTTCTACAACAAAAGTCGTTCATAATCACGACCACGTCATATAGCCACTAGAGACCACAACAGAATTTACTAGTACGAAAGCGTATTAAAGCCTTTCATCACTGTTATATTGCGTGTGGTGAAAAGAAAAGATTCTTTACACAGTCGAAGACTAATCTAAAAGGTAAATAGATTTTTTGATTGAATTTAGAAAACTCTAGAACAAAAGTGATTAATAAACATGATATCACAATAAAAGTTATATAGAGTACAGCAAAAAGAAAACATCTCAAATAGTCGAAGTCTAATAAAAAAGGAAGCTAAGTCGATTTTTTGTTTGAATTTACTAAACTTTAGAACGAAAGCGGTTTTTAATCATACGTCATCTATACGGCCACTGGAGACCACAACAAAAATTATATTGTGTTCAGCAAAAGAATGTAGATTCTTGTTAAACAAGAAAAAAGAAAAGTTACAACTTACGTTTTGCGGAATTTTAAAAACTATTTCTTATATATAGACAAAACATTGACGTCAAATGTTGATAAATGCACCTTAATTTCAGAGTCAAAATGTAAATTGTTTAAGTCGAAAATTAAATCTAAAACTCACTTTTCTCGTCTGAATCCGGGTTGCACCTGCAATAAACAGACTATCATTGAGTACGCTCGATGCTCGAGTGGGGAACGAGAATGGCTGAGAAACAGCGTGCAAAGGGATTCTTTTATAAAGATACTTTGGGATATTGGAACACGTATTTATTTGGGCATGTTTCAGGCAATTTTTTGTTATTTCATCCGTAGGGTTTTCTACTTTTATTACTGCGCTCTCAAACTTGCGACACGTTCTTACATTGGGACGCAAAATTAGGTATATTTATTTATATTTGCTACATTTTTCTATATGTCCGAGGTACATTGGCGTTTAACAGTGAAAAATACATTTGAATTGAATAAAAAGAATACAATTATTATGTTACAACTATTGCAATGCAAGCAATTTATAATATAATGCTATTTATTATCTTACTTGTGAACTATATTTGATGAAATTTTAATTGTTGAACGATTAATTCTTGAAAAATTATACTTGCTTATCAATTATAAAATCTTTATATTAATTAGATAAATAAATAAATAACGCACACACTCAACATATTGTCTATGGTACGAGGCACTTTTAATTTTAAAATTTTATGGGGCGTGATTATTAAAAAATATAAGAACGTTGAGAAACTTACTATGTTTCCTTGATTATTACGACGATCCGAAAGTTAGAGCAGTGATTTTAAGCTTTCAAGCACAATGACCATTTTTTACTTCGTTCTGTTTGCGAAAGATTTGTCAAAGATGATTAGCTCGCTAATTGCAAAATCATAAAAATACGCAATGAAATTATTGTGTCAAACCAACACACTACAAGGCTCATTATAGTGTTTTGTAATTTCAAAACAACAAGAATCTTCCAGCTTTTATGAAGAGAAAACAAATTTATTCGTCTTTCAATAGTAATAGTTTATTTTCCAAAGTAAAATTATAACAGCAGGATAGATTTCTTTAATATCTAATGTACAACATAAGTCAATTGTATCTTTGTATGTAACTTCAAAATACACAAAAAACCAAAAATCCTTTTTGTTAAACTATTGTTTTTGATATTATAGTGTTTTGATTGGACACGGTAGATGAACGTTCTCAAATGAGGCGACTGAGAGCAATACGATGGTCGCTACTAAAAATTTTTTACAGTGGTTGAGTTTACGCAATTGACACCTCGAGTACCATAGAGTCGCGATCCTATATCCTCGATTTCTTTCAAAGTAAATTAATAACGCGCTGTTTGTACGATTCTGTAACTATAAAGCCTTCGTTTGTTTCTCATTTGTACATTCATTCTCAAATAATTGATATTTCTAGGATCTGCGGACTAAAGCACGTAAGTCAAAAACCAACATCTTTTATTTCAATTAATACACTTACTAAAGCACAAAAGTCAAATTCATTTGTTACTTCATTAATTTGTAACTTATATTCTAGAGGCGTCTTTTTCAAATTTATCATTATCTTCACATCTTCCAACAGTGTAAACTACACAAAAAAATATAATCATACACTTCCGGACACATAATTTGAGTCACCTTGCATTTTTATCCTTAAAGGATAGGTTTTCTCCGATTTTTTAAATTCACATTTTCAATAAAGACTTAAGGAAACGACGTTTGGTATATCAGTTTCAAAGTTGCTTAATAGCATTTTTGAGCAATCAAGCATTTTTAAGCTAAAGGCATTAGAAAATGCAAGGTGGCTCGAATTATGTGTCCGGGAATATAATATATTACGTTAAAAAATGAAGTATTTTGTTGACTTATGTCTTTTAGTCCGCCGACTCTAATAAAATTATAATCGATTCGATTGTAGATGGTTTTTATAATATACATTCTGTGAAATTATCAACTGCTAGATAGCGGCACAACTGCTTTTATGTTTAATGGCGCGCACTCGCTCTAATTAGAAAAGGCTTCAATCAAGGCGAATAATAAATAGGTAACGATTATGATACCAATTTTAATTGGCAATTGTTTTTGACAGCTTAACTGTAGTCGCCCCTTGTACTCTTAAGAGTACTTAAGTACTTGCCATGAAAAATCCATGCCACGTACATAATTAGAGTTGTGAATTTTTAATTTCAAACACCGTTTGCATTTGTTCTGAGAAAAAAAATTTATAGTTTGACGAAATATATATTTTTTTTCTAACACACATTTTAGATCTAACACAATTGAGATCAGGTAACACAATACTCCTTCAAAATAAAGTAATAGTAACGTACACTTGGAAATTCTAAGTCGTACCTATTACGTAACTTGCCGTAAAAATTTGAATACGCCACACGTTTCAAGCGAACCTCCGTAGTAAATTTTGCACTATCAAAATATCCTTTTTCCGCTTATAAAACCCACTAATTTCTGAATTTCGCATATGCGCATTATATATTAACTTCTTTGCATATGTTATTATGTATGAGATGCGTTAGCTTATTGCATGTAGGCACCGCGGTAAATTCTAATACCGAACACGTCGGCCAATATATCAAAGTTTTGAACTTGGCTTTCGAAAGCAGTACACAATGCACAAAACTTTCCCACGGCATTCGGGGATTTTAAAATTCACTTACGAACTTACACGTTTTAGAATTTTTGAAATTGGATTATAGAATTCGAAATTCGAAAATTTTAATTTTTTATTTAAAAGTGAAATAAGATAAAAATAATGTTTAAAAATAGAGAACTAGATAACGGTTTTAATAAAAACTAAGGCACTATTAAAAATTAAAAAGAAAATTAATTTCAAATTTCAAAACTAGCTCTAGCTCATAGTTATTCTTTTTTTTTTTTTTTTAAATTCACATATCGTATTTAAAAGTAGGACACGGTACCTGAGAACGAAGGGCGGGTGTCTTCGATGGTAGCGCGACGTCAAATGCCGTGCGGCGGAATGGGCCAACATGGACCAACACAAGCTATACTCGATTTGTATAGGGACCAACCTATACTGCAACTGCAAAGAACGCGAAGGCAAGATTGATCGTTCGGATAGCTGTGCCCCGGGAATGTTTCTCTGTATCACTCGCGATTTATATGGCAAATTGACTGTACCTTTCAAAAGGAGTTTGTCGATTAAACGCGATGACTTGTAAATTTTGCGCGTTTCTTTCAACCAATTTTACAAATTGTTTTCATAGTAGAATTTTATTTCAACCTCCATAGATGTTATCGGATTACGTAAGGTGCAATTTACTCAATTAACCTGCGCAACGGAATTAAAGATAGAGATATCTTATAATGTTTAAGGTTTATAAGACTCATTGGTTATTATGTGAATGTTGTAACCTGCATTGCGCCATGATATAGAGAACTATATCTTAATTCTAAAAAGGTCTTCTTTTTAAGAATCAAGTTAAGTATTTCGTAGTTTGAAGTTAATAAAGTGATTACAGTCTGTCTGTTTTCAAGACGGAGTAAAATGAGATTTGCAGGGTTACTAGTTTTGATATTTAAATAGTCGTGTAGTTGTTGTCGACAGTTTTATCGATAGATTGTGATAAAAGGTAAAATTTTGCCAAAAATATTTGAATTGTGAATGTTACGACGTTCTAATGATTACCAATTGCGTTAATACCTTCTTTATTCTTGTTTTGACCGTTGGCCTACTAGTATCGAAAGCAATTTTTATTCATATAAATTTTAAGAAGAACAGGAAATTAAAAACTTTGAAATATGTATCCTCTTTATATTTTTAATGAACATAGTTTGAAATATAGTGTATGTATGTATAAACTTAGAAATATAACAACTCAAATGAACCTGTATCCAGCAGTTGGATTAATAATGATCGGATGATTATTCAAATGAAAGAAGTTCGGCTAGTTTTTGCATAATCGTGACCAATATTCAGTCGATAGTCGATAGAATATTTATCGACTGCAATCACTAGCTATTCGCAAGCGGGCAACACTTTTGCGCAATCAATTACCATTTTACTCCATATTCTTCAAAAAAGATAGACTATAAAGACAGATTCAGTGAGGTACGACCATGGGATTATGGGATCCAAGAGCCCAAAATGTTGATTTGTATGAGAAAAAAAACAACAATTTAAGTAGATAAGAAAAAAATAGTTTTATTTCCAATCTCCTTTGAATTTTCAAATAGAACTTAACAAAACTGCCTACTTGCCACAAGTAAAATGACGTAATTGGCCGGAACAGAGATATATACACTTTTTTTTTAATTCAAATAGTTTGGTCAATTTTTTCGAAAGTAATTATATTACTTTTTTATTCATAATAATAACATGTCTCTTTAAAATCAAAAAGTCCAATTTTGCTAGTAACGATGTTATTTTGAACATAATTTGTTAGACCAAAAAAAATACGTTTTGTAGCAGTAGAGCTCTTTGTGAAAGAGTTCGTCCAGAGAACTACTACCACCTTACCTATTTCCGCCGTCAAGCAGTAATGTTCACATTACTGCGTTCCGGCTTAGAAATGTGTTGAATACATTTAAAGTAATTTCACCATACGGGCTATTACTTACCCACCTTTGTACGCACTGGCATAATGATGGGACACTTTCATCCCGTAGTTTATACATGAATAGTCGATAAATAAGAAAAACTACACTGATTTACAAATTATTATATATCTATTATTAAGCATTTATTCATATTATTTGTATGTTTGTATAATGTAGATCTATCTAAGTGTATATTTTTATTATTACTTATTATGTAGCGTATTTATGATGATATTCTTTGGTTGCACCCCTTTTGCATATTTCAAATGTCTATCCTAAGGTTGCCTGGAAGAAATTTCTACGTGCACATAAAACATTAACTTACAGCTACTATTATACTTAAATTATTGTATTGTATTTTAACTGTAAATTTATGTCCAATAAAGGATATTTCGTTCATTCATTAATTTATTCCAAAAAACATGAACGAATTATCGCATTAAACTATAAAGAAAAACGAGAAATAATGTAACAGAATCCTGAAAATATATCTGGTTAAAAGTCATAACACTAATCTTCATCGAATGAATGAATTGAATGGTTCATTTAAGGGGCAATATAAACACTTCTATATTAAGATTCGGATTGTATTCAGAATTTGCCATATACGATGTTGAAACTATAGTATAATCCAAGTGAACCGCTTAACTCTTCCAGACTATTTCGATCTATGTTAATATTTAAAATAAATATTGCAAGTATATACTTATAAGTGTAATGGTCAGCTCCAGTCGGTTTGAGTGAGCATGAGACTGGTTGTGCGTGAGTTCTGGTTGACACGATGCTGCGTGTAAAATTTATAAGCAAGGAGAAAAAAGGGCGCCTTACACACAACTAAAACAAGTTTCAAGTAGAAATAACCAGATGCTTTATTTAAATTTGAAGCTATAACATGTTACATACGTTAAGGTTAATTATAAGGGTACATTATGAAGAACAAGTATTTTACTTCCCCGAGTTTACATTACGAGTTTACAGATATGCTTTTCGCTTTTATTAGTTACACATATAAAAGGTTAACTTTAAGTATACTTAGAGCTAATACACTGCACTAGGAGTTTTTGAAAGAACATGAGTGGCACACATGTCACTTATATATCATTGACCTGGAGGTTACCAGATTCACTTTTAGGTTACATGAAAAAAACCTACCACCATCGGCTGGCCCCGTGGGTTCCTCTTAGCTTCACCGTGGACTGAAATCGACCACGGCTACTAGAGCCCCCGGGAACCCCTTCGGGGGGGAAGAGCGGTGCCTCCCTGACACAGGCTTGATTAGCTTAATAGGAGGTACCATCCACTGTTAATGTAAAGTTAATTGTAATCCTAAAAGAAACATTTTTATTTTTATTTTATATTACCGTGGACTCTCCGGAACTCGTGCCCAAGATTTCTCTTAGAGCCCCTACAAAGACCCTTAGGTTTAATTCATTTCTCTGTGCGTACCTCTGGTCTCTTTGAAATATCGGCCGAATGCATATCCCTTACGTGCGAGTATCACCTTCAATGTATTTTTTTTATAAAATCAAGTGACGGGATGAACAAGTCGTGCGCCTGATGGTAAGCTACACGCCTGTGCATAACAGTTGTAGCGCCACTCAGAGCTTTAAGTCGCAAAAATCTGAGGGATACTGCCCGTGCGCCCGTTATCCAGAAACATAAGTTGACGAGTCCCATGTGCCTGTAATTTCACCAGTACCCTTACCCTTCAAAACCGGCACACAGTAATGGTGACAGTACTCCTTGGCGGCAGAAATAAGCAAGGTGGTGACAGTACCTTCCGGGACAAACTCTTTCACAAGGAGCTCTAAGACTACTAAAATTATTATAACCATTGT